GTCCCGCATGCATTTCAGCTGGACTTTGGCCTTTGCTCTCAATCTAGAGAGATTAAAGAGCTTTCCATCTGATCTAGTCCGGAGATAGACACCTTCTGTTGCAGTTCCAAAGGCGTGCTTCAGCATGACAGCAAAGAAGATCCCAAACAGGGGCAGCGCTGTTAAAGAAGGGTTAAAGAAGGGTGTTTTCACCCTGTTAAAGAAGGGTAATTTCAAAACTGGCTGTCCATATCAAGATGGTTCAGCTGGTGTTCTAACCTCAGCTACTTAGTGTAGAACTTGAAGAGAGAGAGAAAGAACCTTTAATCAATATATGTAAATGCTTTTCCTTTCAAGCATGTGATTATATATCTTACATATTCTCTGTGCAAAAAAAAAAAAAACCACCATGCACTGTCCATCATCATTGGTGAAGACAGTTGACCACTCTCTTGCTTACATGAAACTCCTTCCCTTGGCAATCAGTTCAGGGCTATATGCAAACTTGTTAAGGGTGGTGGGCATTCACTAGAACTTAAATGATAACTGTTTTAGTCTTATGGGCTCACTCATCAGGGTAGCCATGGGTGGAGTAAATGTGTACCTCCCCAGTTCCTGTATGTTCCAGTTCTGTTTAAACTACTGTATATGCCTGCATACATACATAGGTTTTTTCTTTCTCTCTCTCTTTTTCTTTCATTGTCAGAAATTTGTTTACTAGGTAAGCACACTTTTTCGCTGCCTCCCTCCCTCTTCTCTGTCAGAAATTTGGTTACTAGGTAAGCAAACTTTTTCGCTGCCTCCCTCCCTCTTCTCTTTCTTTCATGTTCTGTCTTTTTTGAAAAGCTGTATCCTGATAATTTATTTAGACTCGAAAATTACTTGCAGTTGAGTTACTGATTTCCAAATAATGGCCCTGAAATTGAATTTTCTGATACAATTAATAGTTATTTCTTGGAATTATTTGAAATGTGTATTGGAGTGGAGAGCGGAAGGCTTTCCAGATATTGTCAAACTGCAGCTCTCTATACAGCACATCCAGTGATGAAGCATGATGGGAGTTGGAGTTTAACAATATTTGAAGGGCCACATGTTCTCCATCTCTTATTCATATGAGCATTTAAGAACTATCAATTTAGTTATCATATAACTACTGTACAGTGCAAGATACATAGCAATGTAGATAAGTTGAGGAATTTTTCTCAGGTTGTGTTTTTTTCACTGGTGATACCCAGATTGTTGACTTACTTAAAGGTCTTTTGGGCAAAACTGTCAGTCTGTTGATGGGAACTAATGAGCCTTACAGAGTGTTGGAATTTTTTAGGAGTGGAGTTTAATAAGTTGGGGTGTGGGGAGAATCCTGTCATCATTTAATGTGATGGTGGTGGCCTTAGCTTACCTCATGTGCAATGCTAGCACTAACAAAACCAATCCATCTGCTTACGTTGTCGTCTGTCATACACCAGAACTTCAGAATTATTTGTAATACTACTGTTGTGTCTTTGCCCAGCTGATTTAGCTGGGACAAGGTCCTCCCTATATGTGGAAGAAGGTTTTCTAGCTATCTTATGCAACTTCTGAGACTGTCTTGCAATACCATAAAATAGAACTTTTAAAAAATATCCTATGTAAATTTGCTTCAGGGCTGTTGCTTCCCTCGGTGTCTGTTGTGATATAGTGGCATGTTTCTGTTCTAGCTTATGTTCCTGAGAATAAAACTTTTTCCAACCCAATAAGCTAGTTTAGTGTTCTGTCACATTTATAACCTGAGAAGAGAAAATTTTTCTTAAAATATTGGGGAAATTATGCCTAGACTTATTATTTGTGGAGTATCAAGGAAAGTATATTGCTTCTAACTTGTCATTGCTCTTAAATCTTGCTTGGTGCTTATAGTCCTAAAATGTCTGAAGAGCAGAGCAAAGCGTGATGCTCAAGAGTCCTGTAATACATGAAATTCTTGTTTTTCAAGAAAAGTCGTTTAAGTGGAAAGGTTACTGCTTTTTTTTTTTTTTTTAACAAACGCTGTTCTAAAAGACTGAGTGTAATACAGCTTGTAAACGTTTATTTGCATGAGTGAAATATTTAGCTGGACCTACACTTTAGCTGGTCTTTTACTGTTAGGCTTTGGGTCCCTGAAAATTTTTGTTTGTTTAATGAAAGCACCCCAAAATAAAATGTTTGAATTGATGTTTTATTGCCAGAATCCTAAATGTACTAAACATAAGAGTTCAGCTCTTTTTTGGGTTTTGTTTTTTTTCACAGCAAAGTTGGATGATGTTCAGAAGGAGTCCCTTGACTTTCAGGAGCAGCTTGAGGGTGGGATCAGGAAAAAAAGCTCATTTTAGAAGCTGAACACCACTGGAGGTTAATTCAGTTCATTGGGCCTAATTCAAATTTCACTCCTATCTAAAGCAGTTGCCTTGAGTCAATGAGACTTATATAATTTTTGACTTACCAAATTCCCATTTATTTAGTGGGTTGGGAGCAACCATTAGATTTTGATGTCAGAATCCAAAGCAGGATTTATTGTATGTTTATTTAAATATGTTTCAGTTTATTCTCGGGTTCATTACATATTTTTCTAATTTAACTTCAGTGAATTTAGTGGGCTAACTCCGGACTTGCCTTTCCATGATTAGCAAAAAAGGCCTTTGCTCTCCTCCTCTCTCATTCCCCACAGTCTTTCCCCAGCATCCAATAGAGGAAGTTCCAACAAGAGATACTGTGGGTCCAGTCCTTTGTTCTCTTGCACTTCTAGTTGCTAAGTTAGCTAAATTGATATAAAATCTTACTTCCGCTAGTGGTTGAACAATCGTTGTTATTTTCTTTGTTTGCAATACAATGTGAACTTGCAAAACGACGTGCATTAAAAATCTGATCTGTTAATGGCTTACTTGCATCTGTAAAATAAGCTCAATTGCAAATAGCTGTATGTCTTAGGATCAGAGTGTATCACATATTGAAATATAACTTGACTTTTAAATAATGTTATTAATCAGCAGAAAATATATATTCTTATTTGTACATTATAAACTTTGGGTTTATATCTTGAAGTATTTGAAAAGAGAAAGCAGAGCTAAAGTGGTTCATGCTTACAGTACTTGATAACAGATCATTTGAAGCTTTATGTCCTCCATGTTACATTTATATTTTGGTTAAATATTTCTCAAAAGAGTTTAGAGACAAACATCCAGACCAAAAGAAAACCCCTGCATAATACCTGGTTAGAACAAAATGTATGTTCACTAGGATGGCGATAGTGTCAGAGCAAGAACTGTGTTTTATGATACAAAAAAAGGAGCATTTTAAAAATATTTATTTCCACAATTTGTTTTTTCAGTCTTGGCCTACCTATGAAAAGGTTCATAAAAAAATGCATGCTCTTGCAAAATATATAGAGCTACCCTGCTTTCCTGAAATTTCAGAGCGCAGCTTCCTTCATCCAAACATACTCTGCATGAAGTATTTGATGGAAGTTAACTTGCCCGGTGAGTGTAACATTCATGTGGAGTGATATTGGCCTACTGGTTTGCTGGAAAACAGTTTCATACTTCATGTATACCTCTTGTTCACAGTTGTGTTCACAAATATACCTCTCGTTTACAGTTCCCGACAGTTTAGTGAGTAGTGAGTGGCAATTACTGTCATTGGAAGTCAAAAATACTGAGAAGCAAACATGGTACATATTTTAGACAGTAGATATGATTGCTCCTTTGAAGTCACATGAAGTTGCTTACTCATCATGACATTCTTGTTAAACTGGAAAAGTAAGAAATTCTTTTCCTATTTTTTTAAAGATAGCTTTACATAAATATGGGGATGGCAGTCATTGTTAACATGATGTAAAAGAAAATTTCAAGTATGTCTCCTTTGCTAGGAGGGGAGAATTAATATTAAAATACAAGAGAACCGATGAACTTTAGCCCAAATGCTGCTGAAGACTTACTTATTCTGCATATGAAGACAGAATCTGGCCACAATTAAGGCCATTCTACTTATTTCAATTATAGCATTGAGTTCTGCTTCAATCTTCTTTTTCGTTTTCGTGGAGCTCTACAGTGCTTAGCTTTGGCTGGATTCTGCCCCAGATAACATGGATAAACTTGACTTTTTCTCATGGCACCCATGATGTTAAGAATGCTCACTATGTATTTCATACAAAATATAAATTGTATATTCCAGATACAAAGCAAATATAATAAGTTGTCATCTAGCCAAAAATTCTAGAGGTTGTTAAAGTACTGCTTGTTAAAACCATTTCAGTATTAACTGGGAAAGGGGCTCTCCATGCTGGATCACACTTGTTTTATTGAGTTGGGACATATGATCTGGCACAGTCCTTCAGAAAGTAGGCTACTGAAGTAATCTTTCCCTTGACCTAGACTATTTTGTACTAGGTATGCTGTTTTCTGGTTGTTCACCTTTCCTTGAATGCTAACACTCCACTCTTACACATACTAATTTGTAGTTATGTTCTATTCATATTGGTGGAACTTTCCCCTAAGTAAGCGTGCATTGGATTGCAATCACATGGCTGCTTTAAACATTACAACATTTGTGCACAGAAAGCAGTTCATCTCAGAAAGTAATCTGTGTGCAGCTATAACCTTCCTTTATGTAACAGTATCCAGCTCTGGACAATGGGGTGGGTCAATTTCCCCTTCTCACTGGAAGCCACTAAGCACCCCCAGAATTTGCTCAGGACAGCAGGAGTCTCTTTCGAGCTGGTTTTTGGGCACTTGAGATAGAGGAATGCCATTGTCCTGTAGTTGAGCGCTAGTAAGACATTGGATTTAGGCTAATGAGCTTTTTACATTTACATTTTACAAAGCATTTGAAGTTGCCCTCAGTATATTATCTTCTTTAAAAATTTAGATGATATACACAACTGGGCTTGCAGAGTAATTAAAAGAACTGGCATTGGTGATAAAGACTTTCTGACTCTTCGTCCTGGGAATGAACCAGCTGAGAAGGTGAAATATGATATTCTTGCTGTGGCAACTGTGATAGTCGTGCTGAAAATTCTGTTCTTGCTGGATGACCAGTTTGAGTGGTAAGTGTGAATTACTTTATATGAGCGGTTCCCAAACTTTTTCATCTCTCAGCTCCCTTGACTTACTGGCCCCTGGCTGCAGCTCCCCAGTATACTTTGGGTTGTTGGGGAGAAGGGGGGGAAGCCCAGCCTGAGTAGTATTCAGAGTAGGATTTGCTTACCCTGGGCTGCACCATGGAAGTGAACCGCTGCTGCATGAAGCCATATTGCCACTGGGGCGCTGTCGGTGGTTGCCAAAGCCCACCACGGCATCCTTGCTGCCACCACTACCACCATCCACTTTGAAACGGAAAGAATTGCTTGGTCCTTGAGGCTGCTGCCAAAACCCCAGGCTGCCCAGCATCTTGTCCAACCCCATCACCACTGCCGGTGCCTTCGCCTGGAAGCAGCCATCGGTGCTGGGACTGGCCTTGTTTTGACTGTCAGCCGAGGAGCTGGGGTTGCTGCGCTGTGTGCCACTGCTAGCCAGTGACCGGGAGAGTGCTCCAGCCTGCTGGGCTCCTCCTGACCCACAAGGAAGAGGAGGAGGAGGGGAAAGAGTGGGGGATAAGAGGGAAGAAGCCAACCAAGTGAACCGGCTCCCCTCACAGTGGCAGCAGCATCAGCTGGCTGCTGCCGCCTGCCCTTCAGTGGCTCCTCCTCCTCTGCTGTCCTTCTGGGCATTGCAAGCCCAGCAGACGCTGGCTCTGGGACTGACGGGAGGGGGCCGGTGAGGACAGCAAAAGAACAAGCAAGGGGCCCCCGCGTGCCCTATGGCCTCCCTGCGTGTGCCCTCTGCCAGCCTCCCCGGGCCCATGCGCCCTTCCCACTGGCTTTCCTTGTCATGATGTCGGGTGACTCTAAGTGACCCAGGGAAGTCCTCGACTCAAGGTGCCCCTGGTTGTGGTTGGCGGTGCACCACAGCGCAGTTTGGGAACCATTGCTTTAGACCAAAAATGCTAAACAGGTGTGCCCTTTAACCACCAAGGATCAGACCGATAGATTTAAATTAAATGCCTCTTTAATAATAATATTAATACTAAGATTAATATTCAGTTTTCATGTGCTTGCATTTAGAAACCTTCCAACCGTTTTCCTCTTAGCCAGTCAGCCAGTAAGGATAACAGCGTTCACTGCAGTTTCCCCCCCCCCCCCGAAGTAGGACTTGTTCATTTGTTATGTACTGTGTGTGGAGGCAGCTAAAAATACCACTCCGTGCAGCCGGGCTTCATTTTTGACATTAGAAGTCAGAACTTGGAATGTTTTGCTTGCAGTCATTCAAGTGCTAGATGTATTTGAACAGTTGGAAAGATTGTGCCATGATTCCATCAGTGAATCCTACAAATACACTTTCAGGTTTCTAGCAGACTGTGCTGAAGAGCAGAACGAAGACAACAAAGGTACCAGATATTATAAGAAGTTTGGTTCGAATTTTATAACATCTGCTATTTTTAAAGATGATAGTCAGTGGGCAAGATCCTATTGTATAGTGCTGCACTGGCATAAACCAGATCAGGAAATAATTAATTTGAAGTAATTAAAGTTTCCTATCCCCTTCCTTTTAGATTATGGGGCTCCCTAAAGCTCCTCTTTGCCCTGGGAAAGCCTTTAGGAACTTCAGAAAGAAGGGAGGGCTTTAAAAGTAAAAAAAAAAATCACCACCAAATTGTTGGTGACGGGGCCAGGACCTCTGGTGATGATCTGGCTGTGATTTATGACTATTAAAGTCTCCCCTGACCCATATTCTAAAGCTCCCAAAGGCTTCTTCAGGACAAAAGGGAGCTCTAGGGAGTGTTGGAAACTGGAATAAGTAGCATTAAATTAATTTAAATTAATTATTTCCAGTGCTCTGAGCTGGTTTTCTATCAGTGGAACTGCACCGAGAGGATTTTGCCCAATATTTGAGGCAATGGTGAAGATGTGATCTGCATGGACTAAAACAGAATTTTGAAATCATATAGATGTATAAAAGAGATGACAAATTTACGGAGGCAATGCACTCTTTGCAAGAAATGGAGCATGTGATGTTTGTAAATGCTTTCTGTGGTGTCTGAATTATTGTAGTCTTTTTGAGAGAGACCAGATGCGGTCTAGCAAAAGCAAACAAACAATGAAGAGTCACTTTTCAAAAAGGCAAAGAAAGGGCTATGTGGGTATGTGCAGATATAAAATCATAATGCACTATTGGGTGGTATACAAGTTAAATAAAAAAATAAATATATAGCTCATCCCGTAATCATACTAAAGCTGCATAGTAAACCTACATCCTCTCCTATGTCTCTGCCTGCTCTGATTTAAATGTTCCTTGCTTTTACCACCTGAATTTACCCAATGCACCAAAATGCTAATACAGTGGGGTCTCTACTTAAGAACGTCTCTACTTAAGAACAATCCAACTTAAGAACAGCTCCATTTGCTAAATTTTGCTTCTACTTGAGAACAGAAATCCAAGATAAGAACAGGAAAAAAAACCTTTCCTGCTCTTTTTTTAACCTTAGGTCATCTTAGGTTAAAAAAAATTCTCCCCCTAGTGGTAGAGTACGTATTAACCTGAATTATTGTAGTCTTTTTGAGAGAGACCAGATGCGGTCTAGCAAAAGCAAACAAACAATGAAGAGTCACTTTTCAAAAAGGCAAAGAAAGGGCTATGTGGGTATGTGCAGATATAAAATCATAATGCACTATTGGGTGGTATAGAAGTTAAATAAAAAAATAAATATATAGCTCATCCCGTAATCATACTAAAGCTGCATAGTAAACCTACATCCTCTCCTATGTCTCTGCCTGCTCTGATTTAAATGTTCCTTGCTTTTACCACCTGAATTTGCCCAATGCACCAAAATGCTAATACTGTACAGTACAGTATATTTCAAGTTTTGATCTGTGGACAGTCTTTTCCCTGCAAAGGATATCACAACACCAGTGGCCTACATGGTCTGAAAAGAAATGTTGAGATCGCACAAATGAATCCATTTAGAGTAGCCCTATTGCATCAAGAGAATTTCTGTAGATGTTGATACCCCATTCGGCAATTGATTCAGCAGGTTGAGACAAACAAATACTGTAGGTTTAATCCCATATGAGTTGAGCATCCAATAGGAGATAGTTTCATGGCTTTCTCCTACTATATAAACATATCCTCCATGGTAGATATCCGGGAGTACAGTACCAGAAATAAATGCAATATTTTTAATCGGTGGTTTGTTTTGGCTCAAACATGATACCTGGGTCAGTAGGCTGGTTGCTGTCTTTCTCAACAATGTGCACTTCCCATAGTGATATAAAAGCTAAAATGCTCTGCTTTATTTCTTAGATGAAGGGAGAGGTAAAACTCAGCGCATAATACATTAACTTTTACCTGCAGGGTGCCCAGTTTTTGATATTAGAAAATGGTACATGGTTGTAAAGAAGGTTCTGGATGAGAAGCAGAAGAAATTTAATGAAGATAGAATCAGGTATTTTTCAGTGATTGAGAGTCTCTTGTTTGGCTTTGAGAAATACTAGGTGTCTGCGAAAAATAAATAGTATTTGAGGACATGGATTTAAATGCATAGAACTAAATGTTTATGTTAGGATTTTTTTTTAAATATAAGAATCTTGGGTACATGGGGGGTTGCTGTTGCTGCTATTAAAAATATTTTTTCAGAAATGTCAGAGTGTAGGTAAAATGTACTGAGTGTTGATAAAATGTACCCCACTCCCTCCCCCACTTATTTAAGTGTTGGGTGTGAATGTAATTGCTAGTCCTAACTAGAGTAAAACCATAGAATCAGAGGGATTTGCATGAACGTTGATTTCACATCCAGCAGTTGATTTCAGTCAGTTTATTCTAGTTGGGGCTGGCAGTTGGATGTAAGCCTTAAGCCATAACCCATGTTGGTTTGTGTGAAATAAGAATATGAACCTCAGAACTTAGATGAGATACTAGAGACCCAGGCAGTATCTTCTCTTCACATTTTTGTAAGTGGTTCTTCTGGGGAGAATTGTGTATGTTGGGTCAAGATCATAGCTCTCTTGAGGCAGGAGTTTTTTCTTCCCTAATCTCCCAACCCAGCTGCTGTTTAATTCATTTTAAGGCAAATTGTCTCCACAAACCAGCTTACAATATACTCAGACTGTGTAAGTAGTTTGGTTTCAGATTTAAGCATATACAGATGAACGGGTGGAAATAGACTTTCCTCTTGTTCTTCCTCCAGCCCGCTGAGATGTTACACAGAGTCAGGGGACCTGCTCTCTGGTGAATTGGATGGGGTGTGGTATTGGATAGTTGAAAATCGAGGAAAGGCACCTTCTCTGAGCAGAGAGCCTACCATAATTGGCAGAGTTGTCCATTCCGAGTGGCATTTCCAGGTGTCCAAAGAGGACAAGAAAGTTTGCTTCCACCAACTCCAAAGCATATGTCTGATTCTGGATCCAACTCAGTATTGTAAATAACCATACATGCAGATGAAACTATAAAACACATATGAAACATGTTGAACTTAAGATAGCAAAATTTGAAACTCTGCAATCCAGATCTACAGCACTTTTAAAACTCTAGACCAGAGCTTTAAAAAATCCATCTTGTAATTGCTGATAATTGCATCAGCAGTTAAAAGCGTGTTGAAATTTTTAAAAATATGTCTTAAGGCCTTTTCACCTGTTAAAATTACATGTTTATTTTATCTAAACTACATGCAGTTACAGTAGCGTTAATGGAAGAGTGCTAACTTTTTGCACATTGTGAGGAGGAATTATAAAACCAAAGAAGTGATGTTGTTAGACTGTTTTGTAAGGGGTCCAGATCTTTAAGAAAGACATGGTTTTTGGGGGGAGGGTAATATTTGGATGTATGCTTTTTGTCTGTCCTCTTGTCCCTCATACCACTACTTCTGTTTTTTCATCTGTAGATATTTATGGAGATGCGAGAAGCCATTGATATATACAGCCTGTGAAAAACATGTCGTGTTCAAGAAAAAACGTAAGTATGCATTCTTTTGCTCTCCTAAAACACTGATCACTTTTTCTTAGACAATTTAGAGCCAAAATGACGCGCTCTTTTCCAGTTTTTAGAATCAGTTTACTACAACGTGCAAAGTGTAACAGATTTTCAGAGAGGCAAAGGGGATAATAATTTCCTGTGGGACAAAGAAGTAGGAGCGTTAGATAACTATCAGTGTTGGCTATATAATATTGAGTGTTTCCTGGAAACATTCATAGTCTGGAATTATCCTTGTCTTTTTACTGGCTCTGCTTTCCACATTGTAGATCCACTAACAGCAGCATGCTGGGAAAGGGGGCGGACATGCCATCGTCCTGTCATGTTCACATAAACAGTGTCAAAGATAGGGTAGCCGTCCTTCTCCTTTCTGCACAGTGACTGTATATCAACTGTACAAAAGTTGAGGAGTATTAAAGCTTTCCATGAAAATACATCTCATAAGATGTCCACATTCTTCAGGAAGATCATAGTTTGTTTTTTCAAAAAAACACTTTTATCTTACAAGTACTTCTGAACGTTTGGAAATAAGCATGGCATGTGAAGTTTGCTTCTTTCATATGAAAGTTTTAGGTTTGTATCTGCCTGAAATTCTCTTCAAACCGTATTATGGCTTGTGTTGGTGGTGTTCTGCTTTGTACAGGAATGGCAATGGACCTTCAAAAGCAATTTCGTACACTCTCTGGTACGGTGGAACTTCCTGAAAAGCCAAAGCCTTCAGCCTTCCAGCTAAACTGGACTGAGGAAAACACTCAAAGTGATTGTTTTTATGGTCATAGCCTTGCTGGGATTTTGCAACAAAAAGATGACATATCTATGACTCTGAACAGAAACTACTGGTTGGGTACTACTAACCTCTGCAAGGAGTGGTAAGTAACTGACACCTCACTGGAGTAAACAAGTAGATGTTTAAAATAAAAAGTATAGAAGTTGAGGCGAGGGATGCAGAAGGAGGATTATGAAATATGTAGAGTTGAGCCTGTTGCTCTTTACTACCTTTTAATTGCATTTAAATGCATGCATCTTTATTGGGCAGATCTTTAGTTTAGAAAGAATATCTTGTATTATGTTTTTATCTTTAAATTTTCAGGTCTATGACGGTATAGTAAAACTTAAGTTTAGAAAGAAGATAACATCTTGTGAGCCTCAAAAAAAAAGTTGGTAAATGATACAAAATTCACTCTTCTCTCTATAAGGTATATAACAGTGTTGAAATAGCTTTGTAACCGAAGAGAGAAATGCCATGGTTTTCTACATTAATTCATCTAAAAATAATATAAAACAGTATAAAAAAATTCTGGCTTGGAATCAGCACAGTACTATGTGCTACATGGCTTCTCAATTTTAATAGATGCCCTTTGTAGGTCACACAGGAATGCAAAAAGGGTGGATTTCTTAAAGGTGACAAAATAATTGATGAGGAGAAATTGTTAGCTGGCTGGGTAGGTCAGTGACAAGGTTATCGCTAAGCTGCGTGCACTTTGCACAGCACTCCATCAGAGTTGCACATGGGCCTTTTTTTTACTTCCTGTTTTAAGTCCTGCCCACCTCATACATGGAGTGAGGCTCTAGCGCAGCGGGACAAAAACTTAGAGGGAACATTGGTCAGTGAATTCAGACACTTGGCTGTAGAGCTACATGTTTGGAGTTCTAATTCTCACTGTGCCTTGTGTTGCCTTGGGCAAACTATACAGCCTGTGTTGCCTTGTGCAAACTATAACTTAGCATGGTGAGGGGTTTGATTGTATCAGGAAAGCTGAGAGCAGTGCTGTCATACATGCTTCAGGCAGCAGATAGTTATACACACATATACCATCAACTAACTTATACTGTATAGAAGTGAAACAGAAGATATATAATAGGGACCAGAATATACAGAAGCTCTAGTCTCTTTGCAGAAACAAGACTAGAATCAGACTTTAGTACAGACCAAGGATCCCTCTAAGGCAGTGGTTCTTAACCTTTGTTACTCGGATGTTTTTGAACTGCAACTCCCAGAAACCCCAGCCAGCACAGTTGGTGGTGAAGGCTTCTGGGAGTTGCAGTCCAAAACTCCTGAGTAACCCAAGGTTAAGAACCAGTGCTCTAAGGCACGCGGCTGTGCATGTGACTCTGCCTCCCTCAGCGCAGCTTTTCTCCTCCTCCTCCTCCATGCAGCCCCTTTGTTTCCAGTGGTGATGGAACCCTGCATGCATCCAGGGGAGAAGTTGCGAGAGAGGTGGAGCCTCACCCAGCAGGGCTGAAAATTAGAGGGTACACTGGTACAGACTGTAAGCTTTTGAAAAACAGAGTTAAGTTAAAGAACATTAGAACAATCATAGTGTCAAGTAACATTCTTAAAGATTTGTCCCTCCATATGAAGGAAAGGTTTGCATTACTAAACTCAACTGATTGTGAACTGGACGAGCTGTGTGTTGAAACCAGAGATACACAGATGAGGGACAGATGAGTAGGTTCTAAATCAAATGAAGTCAAACTCTCATTAGAGACCAAACTAATTAGAGTGAGGCTATCATACTTTGGGCATGAGAAAAGGCAATGCTTACTAGAAAAGACAGCAAAGTTAAGGAATATAGAAGGTAGTAGGATAAGAGGAAAACCTGAAATGAGCTTGGATTGACTCATAAAGGAACTACTGCTTTTAGTCTGCAAGACCTGAGCAAGGTTATTAATGATAAATCCTTTTGGAGGCCATTAACCCTTTTGGAGTTGCCCTAAAGTCAGAAGCAACTCGATGGCCAAAATCCTCTTCAGGAAATGCAGTTGGAAGGGCAGTTGTGCAAGAGGTTTCCTCCTTTGGCCATCTGTCTTTTGCATGGCCATGGGTACTGGTTGCAAAGTAGGGCATGCAAAGGACTCCCTAATGGGCGGAGGGCTTTTACAGTTGCCTTTGAATGGGTGACTGCTTCTACGTTGACTACCCTGGCCACTTGGTAGTCTTACAGTTTTACAGCTTTATAGACCAGGTGTCACGTTCTTGCCATGGGAGTGTCAAACTTTGATTTCAGATCTGACTAAGATGGCACGCTGAGTACCTTCAACCATATCTGTTATTAATAGTAGCTAATATTGTATCAGAGAGATAGAGACAGGAATTTGTTCTCAGGAAGAGAGGAAGACACATTTTTAAGATCCACTCATGTTTGATGCTGCACAGACTCCCAAATGTTGTCTGTTACATCTGCAGTGGCTTAACGTTCAAGGTGATCAAGACCTTGTCTCAGCCAGTTCAAAATGCAGCAGAGCTGAATAAGGCTGAGGTTGCCGTTAGGCTTGACATGGCACACTGCCTTTTCACGTGGATAAGAGCAGTACCCAATATGTCTTTTTTCAAAGCTACTACTGTGTGATTGTTGGTTGTTAGCATCCCCTATAAAAGTTATCTTGGTAGCAATCCTTTCCTTTTCAAGGGAAAGTTAGTCTTGGATCTTTATGTGCAGTTGCAGCTATTATAGCTACAGTAAAACAAAGGATTCTTCAACATGGTCTCTATGAATCCACACTAGTGGGTTAAGACAGCGCCTGCGCTGGCCTCTTGGAATCTTCTAGAGCTATAGGAAAAAGTAACAAAGTTTGAGTTGCCCTGTATTGCGTATGCTCCGCCCGCCAAACCCCATTTCTATTTTTCCCTCAGCGGAGTTGGAACCTCTCGGTTAGAGCTGCGTTAAAATCTTATTTCTTCATCGTGTATTTGACCTGGACTTGGCTTATCAACCTCCTTATCTCTGTTGCCCTGACTACGGATCATTTTGACTTCTCTTCTGCCTCTGGCGATAGCGCAAGTACTCTAAATTGACTAATTGCCACCTATTTACCTCCTGCTGAGGCGTCACGCGCCTACCGGACTCTTTCTATTACCGCGGTTTCCTGCTTCTATCAGCTTATACCACCTAAAAGAAAACCCTCTCCTAAAAGAGGCCCTTTTAGACTTTGCTCATCCTGTTCCAGGAAACCTCCTTTTCAAGATGGGCATTCCCTCTGTGTCTTCTGTTTAAGGGAGACACATTTGACTACCCACTGCAAGCATTGCAAAGAATTTACCAAGGCTACCCTCAAAGCTCGTCAACAGCGCCTTAAATATTCTCTGTGGAAGCGAACGCTATCTGCTTCACAACCGTCGGATATGGAGTCTGTCCAATCCACATCTTCGGTCCGTTCGGAGGTCAGGTCCTCACCCCCTCCCAAGTCTTCTAAAGAAAAAACTAAAGAAAAAGTTAAAAAGAAGCCTACAACTAAGAAAGTACCTACTACTTAGTCGGCTCCTTCAACATCTTCTGTCCCACCGGCTTCTCAGCAACTGAAACAGAAAAAACCTCCGGTTAAACCCAAATCAAAGTCTAAGGAGCTCACCTTGGTTGTACCTCCTATATCAACATCTCTGCCTTCACCTATACTTGAAGACTCTTCCCGGGACCGGGATTCGATGTCGGAAATGGGTGCCTCTTTACCGCCTCGACAGGAGGCGCCTGTCGACGTCGAGAGGTCACCAACTGCTAGCCAGCTAGTACAAGCAATTGCTGGCATAGCCAATGGTCCTCATAGCCCTGTGTTAACCGGGCGGGCGTCTCAATCCCCATCTTTGGCACCGGGATCTCTCGGCTCTAAGTCTTCATCTCCACCTCGAGAGAGACCAGAGAAGCCTTTGGAGGTCCCCTTCCCTCGACATCCATCGTCAGATCAGGATGAGGGACCTCCATCTAAACGACCTCGACGCCATCGTAAACACAAACACGGCTCCGGTGTCGACAGGCGAAAGAAGCGTCGATATTGAGACTACACTTGCTCTTCTGACTCAGAGGACATGGTCGAGAGAAGGAAGTCCCGCCATCAACGTCGAAGATGAGATTACTCTTCGAAGTCGTCCTCAACAATGAGAGACAGTAGAAGAAGGAGGAAGAAGGCACAATACACTTCTTCTTCATCTTCACCATCTGTCTCACCACCGAGAAAGCATTGACACCGAAAATCCCTCAGTGTCGATAAACAGGAACCATCGACGTCGACAGGAAAGGGAGCTTCCACGTTGACGGGGCATAAGTCTGATAGTCATGCCACAGGGTCTTGATCTGCTCAGTCTACTATTCCTCAGAAGACCAGATAGGGATCAACACCCTAGCATTTTTCCTGTCTCCGATGAGGAACATCAGGTTTCTGAGGACTCTTCTGAACAAGAGGGAGAGGTGACATCAGAAGCTTCCTTGGACACATCTCTCCCAGGGGAGCCTTTAGGATCGGATGCTGCGGACATCCACCCATCTCCCCCATCTGAGGACTTCTCTTCTTACTCTCAGATGGTTTCTAGAATGGCAACCACCTTAAGAAGGGAGATTGAAAAATCTCCCACACGTGAGGATGATTGGATCTTCGGATATATTAACAAGGAAAGGTCTCATCCTGTCAGTCTCTCTTATGTACCTGAATTATTAGACCTTATTATTCATTACTGGGAGCACCCTGCTAATTCCTCCTCCATATCCAGGAGGACTGAAAACCTTTATCGCATTCATGAGCCTAAAACCTCCTTCCTGCTGACGCATCCTGCCCCAAATTCACTGGTAGTAGAGTCCAGTGCTTCAAAAATTCCTACAAAGGGTCATGCTACACCTTCCAATAAAGAAGGTAGGAAATTGGAAGTGTTGGGACGTCGACTATACACCATGACCACCTTTGTCTTAAGGGCAATCAATTACTTGGTAGCCATGGGTGCCTACCAGAAGCAACTCTGGGCAAGAGTTCTACCGGCCTTGCAAGTCGCATCAGAGGATATCAAGCAGATATGCCTTAACGTTCATGCTGAAGCTTTAACTGTCTCCAAGCATCAACGCTTGGCATCTCGTCACATTGCTGATGTCACTGCTAGAAATCTTGCATCTATAATCACCTTGTGATGCCATGCTTGGCTTAGATCAGCCAATATCATGGAGGATATTAGAACCAGGGTCGAGAATTTACCTTTTGATGCTTCTGGGTTATTCAGCGAGAAAACTGATGAGAATCTTGAGAACCTGCATAAGAGTAAAAAGACAGCAAAGTCCTACTCTATTCAGCAACAACTTCGAACTTCCAAGTTCCAATGGCGTCCGAAATATTCACAACAATCCTATCAGCAGTCTACACCCTCCACTTACCGCTCCTTGCGGAACCAGAGTCAGCTAAGGTCTTCCCAGGCCTCTTCATCTACCTCCAGCTTCCAACCCCAATCAAACAACCGACAGTCTTACAAACCATCCGGTAGGAAGTCAAAACAATATCTTTCACTTCACCAGAACCATCTCCACTATAATCACACAACCCGCCTATCTCCTCATCTTCACAACTGGCTCAAGATAACACAAGACTCCTAGGTCCTAAACATTATAAGCTCAGGTTACCGGCTGGAATTTATAGAATTGCCTCCTCTAGGATGGATCAAGCCTACATCGTTCGATCCCATCCTAGAAGAAGAGATTCTCACTCTTCTTGCAAAACAAGCCATCCGGAAAGTATCAAACCGGGACATACAAAATGGGTTTTACTCATACAAACTGGGTTTCACTCCCGGTACTTCACGGTACCCAAGAAAGATGGTGGTCTACAACCAATTCTGGATCTGAGGGACTTAAATACCTACCTCAAACCACGCTGTTTCAGGATGGTCACCTTAGAAGCAATAATTCACCTGTTGAAGAGAGGAGACTGGTTTGTTGTTGTGGATCTAAAAGATGTGTATTTCCACATCACCATCCATCAAAAGTACAGGAAATACCTGCGTCTAATCTTCATGGACACCATTTACCAATATGTGGCTCTTCCATTTGGCCTCTCAACAGCTCCGAGGACCTTCACCAAATTCATGGCCCCGGTAGCAGCTTACATCCATCTACAAGGGATACAGATTTACCCTTATATCGACGACTGGCTGATCATGTCCAAATCCAAAGCAAGAGCAATCAAGGACACACAGTATGTTCTGCACACTACAAGCGCTAGGCCTGTCGATAAACTACGAAAAGTCCCACTTGGAGCCATCTCAAATGATGTACTACATTGGGGCAAGACTGGACTCAGTCCATGCTCACATGTTCCTACCACCAGAGCGCATACGAAAAATAAGAAGGGCAGTTCAGAAATTCAAGCCACAAGGCAAAGTGTCAGCAAAACACGCACAACATCTTCTGGGTCTCATGGCATCAACAACTTGTGCCTTATCCCACACTC